AAGTTTCACGTCTAACAGAGTCTTCGTCACATAAAGTACGCGCTAAATAGGGTATTGTAGAATTTCTATACTTAGTAGTACGAGCATATATCTTTTTATATTGACTTCTCGTCCTACCTGATGAGATACAAGGGGACAGGTGTGAATAAAGGGGGTGCAGAGGGTCTGACATTATAGCCTTTGCCCATTTCGTACAGGAATTTATATGCCTCTCGACTATAGTATTAGCGAGCTCATGCAGTGGCAGACCACAAGCTCTACTCACAGCATTTAATACTCTTCGTAATATGATATAATCTTTTTTGAGCAGCCCAGGAAAGATTAATGGAGAGCAGTAGAGTACAATAGGTAAAATACAGGAGTTTAAAAATTGCAAAACTAAAGGTTGGTTGATACCTGATTGTCTTAACTTTTTAATGTAGAAGGTAAGACGAAACATTTTCTTAGAGATAGATAAGATATGGGATGACCATGAAAGGTCAGAGGAAAAAACTAGTCCAAGGTATTTAATACTTGATTTGGTTTCAATTTCCGTGCCATCTATGCTACAGGGATCATGAGAGTTAACTAGTTCAAGTAAGTCACGTCGATGCTTGAAAGTAAAGTCAAGCACCTGACATTTGGAAGGATTTAATATAAGACCATTTGACTTGGACCAGTTGTTGATGTCCAACAGAAAGCTATTAAGTTTGGAGCTGTCAGACTCGGAAGTGATAGGCAGTGATACAGTCAGATCATCTGCATATTTAACAAAGTTAGTTTCGTTTGAATGAGGCAGGTCATGTAGGAAGAAAGAAAAAAGAAAAGGAGAGAGGACAGCACCTTGTGGAACACCGGATTTTGTAAGCGAGGTAGAAGAAGATTTGCCGTTATATACAGTATACTGCATTCTATCAGAAAAATAGGAATGCAACCAACTCTTAGCCCAGGATCCTGTTTGTGTCAACGATAGCTTATTTAATAAAAGGCCCCTAGGTACAGAGTCAAAAGCAGATGTGTAGTCTAAGAAAGCACTACGAACATATTTAGCACCTTTGTCTAAACAAGAGACAACATTGTGATATAAGACAACCGCAGCATCCAAGGTACTTCTACCATGTTTGTATGCAAATTGTTTAGGATCATTAAAAGGTTTCAAAGCGGGTTCAAGACGAAGTAAAAGTAATTTTTCCATCAATTTTAAAAAGGGGGAAGTAATTGCAATAGGCCGAAATTTAATATCAGAACCAGAAGATGGTTTTGGTATAGGGATAATTTTAATGTTTTTCCATGCAAAAGGTAGAACGTTACCGGAAAAAGAGGCATTAAAAATGTTAGTAAGAGGATAACACAAAATATCAGCACAATTCCTGAGGACAATGGCAGGTATGCCGTCAGGACCAAGGCTTTGAGAAGGCTTAAGAGACCGGAGACATTTAAGCACATCAAGGGTATTAAAACCACTAAAGTTATTGTCAATATGATTTGTATCATTTGGAAGGGTATCAACAGAAGAGCGTATGAAAGATTTATTAAGAGTGTCAACATTAAGAGATGGAACAGAAATACATCGCTTACCGTTAGTAATTTCTTTGAAAAGTTTCCATAAATTAGAAGGGGTTTTACATGACAAAAATCTTTGATTATATAAAACACTTAGTCTTTTTATTTCCAGTTTTATCAGCATGTTTAACTTTTTTACACCAGGCTTATCATTAGTTTTGAACAACAGTTCTTTATTTCTACGTAGCTTTTTGAGATATGGCGAAGATAAGCGATCAAATCGGATGAATAATGTTTCTTTAGGACAACATATTTCGAAACAGAATTTAAGATAATCGGTAGTGTTTGTGATTGTTTCATCTAATGTTTGTTCTGTAAATAAGTCCCAGTTAGTGTCTTTCAACATGCATCTGAGCTTGTCTAGGTTGTCTTTTGAGTAGCATCTCCGTTGAACTTTACTGTAGAGGTGAGAGAGGACACCTTTGTGTGATTTGGAATATATTTTAGGCAGCACACGTATGATGCAGTGGTCAGAATTAAGTAGAGGAGCACGTTTGCGAGCTTCATATATACCAACATCATTGATAAATACTAGATCCAGTTTTTTACCAAGACGGGTGGCAAAGTTAACAATATTGTCATGACCAAGTGATATAAGGAAGGAGCAATCGCTTCCATTGAAGTCGCCAGTTACTATTGATAAAGAGTTCTCGAAGCAAGCTGCAGCAAAAGCGGTGAATTCATCGGCGAACATAGATAAATCCAATATGGTACAGCCAGGAGAGACATAAACATTAGAAATATAAATGAATTTGTATTTTGAAATGTGTTTCGGGCGACATCTCACAGTGATGCAATCAATGAAGTCATTCGAGAATTTGAAACAAACTTTGTTTGAAATGGACCATTTTGAGTGAATAAAAGTTGCAACACCTCCACCACACTTTTTCTTGGAACAAATACGGTCTTGTCGAAAAACATTGAAATTGTTTAGAGACACAATATTGTCATCGTATGAGTCATGGAGCCAGGTTTCTTGCAGAGTGACAATACCAGTATTGTGGTAGGTACTAGAAGACAACAGAGACTGAAAATCCAGAATTTTATTAGGCAGGGACCGGCAGTTGGTACTAATGATAACTGGAACAGTGGTGTGATGTATGGGTGTAGATTTTAAGGCACGCTGCCAACCTCCATGGTGCTTTTTCTTGAGTTTATTGCAAATATGAAAGTTTTTGGGTTTAAAACGTTTTATAAAATCCCGAGGGTAGATAATACGATTAGAATGCATAATGTGATATGTAAATACCAATAAAATACGAGTAAATAGATGCAAAATGTACATGGAATGTGGTAGCCCAAAAATATTCAAACAGGCCGCCAAGGTCATTCGATGTTATCAATTATGTCACCCGCATTACTCAATAACAGACCACTATATATTTTCCTAAGTATAAATACGACTGTACAGCCTCTGAAGATGATTTCGTCGACAAAGAAAATTTTCTTCGCTGAATCTGACCTTTTATTTTCTTTATTTACCCAATCAATCCATCCCCATCTCCTCTTACATGTTTATTGAGCAATTGGTTCTTGGAAGGTTTGTTCCCAGCGAGTCCCATGGTCAAATGGTCTTAAGCTGAATCCCTGTAATTGTCAGGCGGTTAATCTCACTGTCAGATGTAATCACAACTAACTAACGTGAACTGGTTAGTTCTCATGGTTCCACTATCATAGCTGGTACAGAAGTTGAAACCGAACTGAATGTTAAATACCGTGGATTGTGTATTTCCTCTAATCTTTCCTGGTCTTGCCAATGTATGTTGGTTTCCAAAAAGATCTTTCGTTTGACGTTCTAGGCAAAGAAGTCAAGACGACCTGGTATCATTGCGTCTCTACTGTTACAGTTTGTTAATTCTTATATTCTGACGATATTTCTTTACTGTTCCCCCAGATTAGTCTTTCCCGGGCTACTGAAGAAAGACTTTTTTATACTGTGAGGAGCGTCAAAAACCGTCAGAAGTTGGATTGCGGTCTTGCTAAACCGACTCGTTAATACTTTTGTGGGTAGACACTTGGATTACTGCAACAAGTTAGCAAATGTTATCCTGTCATACGCTGAAAATTCTCTCCATACATAAATCTCTCTGTGAATCTCACCAGCTGTGGAGGAACAACAGAAGACAAGGGCCAGGATCCGGGGCGTTTAATAAGGAAATCAATACATATTTATAGATTTTCATGTACGTACTATAGATTGTTGTTAGCAGAAAAAACACAGTCCTCTGATTGGCGGTTGTTTCTCACTGAAAGTTAACCTCGCATCTCTCTGTGGTTGTTTCTTGAATGTCAGATCATATCTGTTATATATGTTAACTGTATCGGCCTACTCAAAACCTTTGTTCTCATTTTTCTCACGACCAATATTGAAAACATAAACATTGAGGTAAATTACTGTCGACCAATTTTGGCTAACAGGCAGCTCTCACCACATGGGAACTAGAAGCAACTGTAGGAGACTATATGCTCACGCAACTAAGTATAAAACTCTACTATACCTAAATTAGCTGGGACACATTCTATGTGTTGAGAAAAGTGAAAGACAGAAAATTACCAACTTACTTCTGAGGAACTCGAAGTTAACGGTACTATTTTTTGTTCTCATTGCAACTTTGTTGTTAATATTTTCACTAAATTAAGTTTTATATTCACATCTATATATTACCCCCGTAATGAGAATATTAGATTGTTATGTACTCGTCGCTAAATTATTGTTATGGACTGGTCGAGAAACTAATAGTCCTGACTCAAGAAGGCGGAAATCAGAAGACCACTAGGTTTGCGATGATACTTCTATTGTCCAAACACAAGGAGACGAAAATAAAAATGGTCTCACACCAAAGTGGTAAGTAAGTAAAGTAGTCACACAAATTGTGAATGCGAAATATATATGAATGTTTCAGACAAAGCGTAGGAATAAATCATAGATATAATATTGTATTACATGCTGAGTATACTAATTTTATGTACCAGTATACTGTTCGGAATGAAACTGTTATCATTATTTTTCTATAGTTGGTTTGTAAGGATTAGATTTGTTTTCACGAGTTTCACCACGGATTGATATCAGTCAGGGAACCATTGAAAACCAACCAGCGAGTACTGGAAAGCTGTTTCACACTAGTTTGGGAATCACCGGCAGTATGCACCCACACTGCAAGGGTTCAAACCCAGAACCTTCCATTTACAAGGCAAGCAAGCTCGTAAACCATTTAGACACTGGGACCACCCGACTCAATGGCCATCCCTTGAATTCCAGCTTCCACTGATTCGTGATTTAACGCGACCCCAAACGATGTCGTCTGTCGTATATCCATCCTCACACTTGAATGGATGGACCTCACTGGTCACAACTTCACTATCATTATTCACCATGATATTTTACTAACTTCACATGTTACATAACTGAATCAATTCTCTTCTTCTCTCCCTATTTTTATCGGATATTTACACTTTAGATAAGCCATTCGATTGGTTTGTGGCTACAATATTCCTTATATGCAATACAAATTGCGAAAAGGCTTGGAATTTCTTATCCAGCTTTTCTAAACTTCCTCATTCCCTTTATCTTTGGCCTAACAGATGCAAACATGTAAGTATAATAAACTAGTGTTATCTCCTATATAGATATATATGTGTGTGTTTAAATAATCGGTTATTTCTATTTTTAGATTGTTTATACTCAAGGTTAAATATGACATGTTTGAAGAGACTTAGGAACAACGCAAAGCCTAAAGGCCTTTTGTTAGTTGATTTTAGCTATCTTGGAGAATATTTTTTCGTTGTAAAGGTTGAAAGATAAGTCATTCAACTAGTTCATATTTACCAAAGTTAAGGTTAGATAAAAGATTTGAATATGTGTAGCCCCTCGCCCAGTGAAGTCTTATCTTGATAAGCAAACAGCTGTAACAAACAGAGTTTTTTGAAGATTGAGGGAATGAGGGAGACATAATAACTCTCAGAGTAGATTTATCCTATGTTGATTTAAGAAAAATATTAATTTAATATAATTTCTGAAGATAAAGTGTGTGTCTTATTAGATTATTGGAGGAAGTTGGAAGGAAGATTTACTTGACCGAGGTTTCGTACTACTTGGCACTCATCAGCAAGGCGTATCTGCAGCCCTGAAGGAACTTATGTCACTTCTGAGATTCAAACTCACATCACCCAGTGAATACTCCAGTCAGAGATATTACCACTGAGCTATTGGGGCTCGCGATTCACCTCAGTAGGGACATGAGTTCCTTCAAGGTAGCAGATACGCCTTCCTGACATGTGCCAATTACCACGAAATCTAGGTCAGGGAAGGCTTCTTGCCGATTGCCTCCAACCATCTAATATCATCAAATCAATGTGCACTGTGATAACGAGCCACTTAGTGGCATGGTAGCCACATTGCAAACCTGACTGATAGAATTCAGTCTGCACTAAACAAAGAACTAAACACGTCATACTAGTTACTACTGTCCAATCAGATGTCTTTACTGGGAGTTCATTGAGAGATAGACTGATTTGGATCATGTGCTTACATTGCCATTGAAAAGGTACTCAAGGAGTTATACGTTATAGGACAGCATTCCATAATCTACACGGTGGTAGTTTGACTTATTGGATCTAGTACCTAACTATCAACCAGTGGATGATCGGATCGAATTTTTCACTACCTACTTCAAACTAAGCAACTTTGTGGCTAAAACTGGGCATATAAATGATCTTCGCCTACTCTGACTTTCAAAGCAGAAGCGCACCTTAAGGTGGAGAGAACAATAAGTGCACTGGAACTGCTATTGTTGGGATTGCATGAAGAATAATGAAAATTTAATGAATCTGAAAGTTCACGAAAGTAAAATGCATCGAATACAGCATGTACGATGTTCATTGATGTCAGCAAAAGAGTCCAAGTATCGACTGTTAGCTTCATAACGACCTAAGCCAGATAGTCTATACCACTCTCCATGTAGTTCGAACGACGAGCTAAAGACCTAGTGAACTGATATTGTATTTCTGTTTAACTGCCCTTTTCAAACCTTATCGTTTGTCACCTATTACGCCGGGGGGAGAAGGCAGTGTCCTGGAATTGACTTGCACACGTCTCAGCCGTTTGAATTATTGCAGCTTCACAGCTGAATCAGTCAGGTTTTCCTCCTTACTCAACACTACGCTTAACCTCAATATCTGTCAACACATTATGATGTATATAATACGATAAGTCCAGTTAACGCAAGAATCTTATCACGACTTGTATTTACATTTTAACTCAAATTATTCAAGTGTGGGTATCAAAACCAGTCTGCTGCCTCACATATATTTGCCAGGAAACATAACATATAAACTGAGTAGAATTCGATCATAGATTTGATTCAACGTCACATTTCAATATATCTCGATGGTTACATGCTACTAGTACTATTAAAAAAAGTAGTAACAGTAATATTAGTATAATACTGGATAGAGATTGTTGTACGGTAGCAAAACATCCAATTTTCTTCTACATAATTTAGAAATATAACAGGGGGAGGAGAAACAGTGACTACGAGGACTGAAGAGAATGACTCAGTTTACTGCTTTAAAAACAAAACTTCAAATCGACATTGTTTTATGACCTCATTTTGAGTGGAAGGCAAACAGAAAGCGACAAGTTTAGCAGCGTCTGAGCAAGACAACGGTGAAGATTACATGGGGAGGGGGAAATTAAGGCTATTTTGGGCAGTCATGGAACCAGGTGAAAATGGCCTCAGAAAACACATTGAAGTGGAAATGTGTTACCCTGTGTTTTTACTCGAAGTTGAAAGGAAGAAGAGTAAAAATCATTATAGTCATCGGCAGACTATTTATTCATATTGGAAATATCCCTTCGATATATATATATATCTGGACTGAGCAGATCTGCTTCATTTCGCTTTGTCATACGTCAGTGATTCAGTGGTTGGATGCTCACCAGCCCTGTCAGATAGATTCGGGTTTGATTATCGTCTGAGTTATTCCCAAAATCTCGCCTAGTTTACCAGCTGGTAGCAACGCTATTAAGGAGAGGAGGGAAGGGTTTGGAAATAATGCCCCTTACTTGTAAAGGAAACAACCTTGCCTTTAATGAAACTTTTAAGACTGAAGCTTAAATATTTCACCCAGAATGTGAGAAGTGTTTTGTTCCATCGAAGCGAAATCACAAATTGAATGTAAAAATTTAAAATTATCCCCGTTGCTAAACAGATGCAATTCAGGGGTAACACTTTTGGAGTTGAAGAAATGGGTACAGGGTTCATGTCTCAGTGACAGAGCCAAATGTCGGCTGACCAGCCCCAAATTTGATTAAACTTACCTTCCCGTTTCTAGCCCTACTAACAAACCGGGTGACAAACCGGAGAAGATATGAGGAGGGCACTAAAAACTTGAGAGAAGTCATGGAGTCAGCTAAAATAGATCAAACAGAATAGAGAGAAGTGGTGGTGTGGCGCTAAAAACCCTATTTTCCACTCGGAATGAACAATGATAATAATAATCAACAACAATAGTTGGACGGACAAAAACGGTTTTGGGAGATCTGAATTTCGCGCTTGGAGGATTTATGTTTAATGTCATACAAACTTGAAGACTTACAGGAAGGCGAAAACCAACAAATTGGCTGAAGAAGCAGCCAATGAAGATATGACTACAGGGGAACATAAAGAAAACACAGGTGATAAAGATAGCTGACAGTAAGTAACAACAGCAAACGGCACCAATCACCATCAGAAAGAAAGATTTGACAAAGCTTACTTCCTTCCTGCCCTTACCTAAGAAGCATTGTTTCAACCACAGGCAATTTGAACTCTGATAAGGATGCAAAAGCCGATCAGAATCGGAAAGGCAAGAACCACATTCATCAATCTGAAAGCAGCTTGAAAATCTCCCTCACTCCGCTGTACAAGAAACAAGATTCAGATTCTATTCAACACAAGTGTAAACTCAGTCAGTTGGTTTTTCTATACGGGTCAGAACATTGACCAGCATATCATGAAAAGGATTTCCAATAGCCTGTTACAGATTTTTTTATCAACAGCTGCTTTAGCTAGCGCCATACTGAAGATCGAATGGGCAGCTGATTGGCCAGAAAGCATTAACAACAATAAACTCTTCAGTGGAACAAACCAATAGGTGAGAAGCCGATTACTCAACAGATATGTCGAAGAAATTGGAGATGGATTGATCTGACATACATTGAGGTGGCCATCGAATGACATCACACGCCACTCAGGCCATTGCTTGAGTGAAATTCCAATAGGATCTGACGAGTACGTCGTTGGTGCCAGGGCGACATAGAGGAGATCTTGTGAGTTGAAGCAGGACATGAAACATTATGGTCAGCCGTAGACCCAGGTGAAGACGACATCAGAAAATGTAACAGGGATTGAGATATGTATGTATGTATGTAGTTGAAGTCCTATGATTTACTCGAAACCCAAGGGAATAATAGCAATAATGTAGTTATATTGAAATTATTTATTTATGTATGAGGTTTCCCTTCAATGGTTCAGTGCCAGAATGCAGAAAATAACATCGTCGCAACTAAACCTTCAACACCTGAATAGTTTGAGAGCCGATAGGAACACAAAAAGAAATTATACTTCAACAACAAAACATCACAGACCTGCGTATCATTTGGAAAACTATCAATTACTGTGAATCTCTAGGTATATCCAACTGACTAATTTTCAAACAGGATAAAATCTGTGTCTTCAATTCTATTGCTAGCCACACTACTTCTTTAATTGACAAAATCTTCACTAGTTTTTCAAAGTACACACTTTTGTCAACTGAACACTGATATTCACTGAAATGTTATCAATATAAAACAAACATTGAGGGGATAGAAACGGGAGAAAAACAGACATTCAGCCTAAGGACAAGAAAGGAAATGAAAGCATTGCGTAATAAGGCTTCATTTGGCAGAAAGAAACTAAATTTCTTTGGTTTTTTTTTCTCTGTTTGCCCATTATAATAATAATAATAATAAAAACTCTTCCCTCGGAAAATCTTACCTCCACATTATTTCTCTGCCCTCTTTTCTTTTTTCTGTCGTTTTCATTTTAGACTAAATTTCGTGATATTTTCTATTTGAAATCATGCCAATATTTTGAACATTTATTAGCTATTGAATGCTCAAATATATTTAGTATATTCGTCATGTCTGAGATTAGTCCAATTCAAGTAAGTTACAGAACTCTGTGTATTTGTCTGTGTGTGAAGACTTTATGTGATAATCTCCAAGTGATTTTGTCATGTTTGCCGTGGATTTCTCTGTTATTCTTAGTCGATTAAATATGTCCGTCATTGCATGTCAGATAGTTTGAAGAATGTGATTCGCGCAGAAATTATTATTGTTAGCTAACTAACTTTCTCATTGTTAACAAATTGAATCCATGATTCAATGATAAAAAAATTATTGATTGCTAACGATAAGTGTGATGAGGCGTTCGACTTCTGACTGTCGCAGTAAGGTCGGCATATTTAACTGGTATAATTCAGTCTACACTAAAGAAAGGACTAGACACAATACGCTAGTTACTGACTACTGTTCAATCAAATATGTCTAACAGAGTCCTAAAGGAGGTCAATCGCGAATTTAAATAGCTCAGGAATAACGTCTCTGACTGCGGCATTGGTTGACACGAGTTCGAATCTCAGAAAGGACATGAATAATTCCTTCGAGGTTTTGTACATACGCCTTGCTAATGAGTTTCAACTGGAACGAAACCTAGGTCAGGCAAGACTTCCTGCCGATTGCCTCCAGCTATCTAATATCTTCAAGACTCATTTTACACTATCCAGTTGGTAAAAATTAGGTCTATTTTCCATAAAGTTTACTTACTCTTTGTTAAGATTGTTGAACTTGTCTTTATTTCTATTCTTTGTTCTCATTATATGGCTGTGAAATCTATTAGGTTTCAAGGAACTAAGCTCTTTTGCCTCACAAATAACTACTATTGTTGTCGCACGCTCCGTTGGATAAACCAGATGTTAGACTTAGTGTAATCATAGTGAGCAGAAAGACAATGTATTCTACTGATCGGGTCAGTGTGAAGTATTGAGTTAGGGGAATTCTTCTCCCCATCCCTCAATAGAAATCGAATCATTGAGCACCAGCTTGTGTAAAAGGCCTATTCTTAAATTTGTTAACTTACCAGTTTGAAGAAATCAATAATTCTGTATTATTTAGAATGAACATTTTATACATACGCCTACTTACTGCCAACCTTATCGTGAAATGTTATCTGGTGTGGAATTTTACCAGAGGCTTCAGGTGAACAGAGGTGATGAAGGTTCCTGGCTAACAACAGCAACAACAACAGACCACAACCAGCATGAGTGGGAGAAATCTGAAAGAAGTAACCTCCTTGACTTATCCTACCTCAGAAGCATCATTTCAACTACTGGTGGATGGAACTTACTGGGATATCAAAGCGACGATTAGGAAAACAAGGCAAGATTTCATTATTGTCAAGTTTGTGTAAAGATCAGCACTCAGTACTCAGCATGAAAAATAAGATCTGGATTTTCAAATCTAATGTGGAATCAGTGCTACTATACCGGTCACGAAGAGCACTTCGAAAGAACTACAGGCCTTAGTCAACCACTGCTATTGCTCAATGCTGCACCAGAGCAGATGTTCAGGAAAGATCACCAACGGGATCTCTAGCAATGAATGAACCAACTCAGCAGGAATCAATTGTGCAACAAATATGCAGGAAGAAATGGAGGTGGATTGGCCATGCTCTGAGAAAACAAACCAAAAAGTGAGTTACATGACACGCCAGGCCATTGCTCGAGTGGAACCCGAATGGGAATTGGCGACTTGATCGTCAGTGCGAGGGTCATGTGGAGGAGGTCAAGTGAAGAAGACGTGGAACCAGGTGAAAACGTTGCCAGAGAACCAAACGCAATGGAGACGTGAAGTTCAAGCCCTATGTTCCTCTAGGAACTAAAGGACACAATAATAAATAGTAATAAAGGTCTGATTCAAACAAAGATATTGTGTTTATAGGTATTTGCTCATTCCTGGCTTTAATTTCATCACTAACCGACATCAGAAGTGTAAAATAACTGAAAATGAGGGAATACTCGACGTTCATCTGGAAATAGCATCATTAACATGCATGTATTAAACTACCAGTGAACTTAAAGACTAGTAACTTTAACTAATGACCTACGAGACTATCTTGGACAATAATTCAGGTTAACGTAGCGGTCGTAAATGATAAAGATACCACGATCTTATTCGGAGGCGTAGCTCATTGACATGGATTCATATTATTCTAGGAACAATGTGAATCATTCATCATTCGGAATAATTTAGTAGGCCATTGGTTCTGATCGCTATTCACAATAACTGCAAACTTTTGGTTAAATAAATACATGAGAACGATATTACGAGCTGATTTTTCACTAATTCGGAACTCTCTAAAACTAGCCATAGCTTGAAAAAATACGCAAATATAAATCACATTAGAGATATGAAAGTGATTTTTCCATGATGACAAGAAGTAATTATTATTATTATTATTATTATATCCTTGAATTCCTAGAGGAACACAGGGCTTCAGCTGCGTGTCCCCATTGCCTTCGGTTTTCCGCCAACTCTTTCACCCCGCTCCAAATCTGCCCACCTGCTTTCATCTCCTCTTCACATGACCTCCTCCAAGTCACCCTTGAACTGACGACCAACTCGTCGCTTCCCTTTTAAGGTCCACTCGAGCAATGGCTTGTCTAGTGATGTCACTTGATGGTTTCCTGAGCGTATGGCCAGCCAATCCATCTCCATTTCTTCCTGCCTATTTGTTTCACAATCGGTTCCTGCTGGGTTGGTTCGCTCATTGCCAGAGATCTTTGTTGCTGATCTTTCCTGGCTGGCCATCTGATCTTGAGTATTGAGGAAAGAAAACTACTGTTGATGAAGGTCTGTAGTATGTTTGAGGTGCTCTTTATGACGCGCAGTGCAAGTCTCTGATCCGTATAGTGAATAGCACTGACTTCACATTGGAGTTGAAAATCCGGATGTTATTTTTGATGCTGAGCGATGGTGACCTCCACACAGACTTAAGAGTAATGAAAGTTTGTCTTACTTTCCCGATTCTGGCTTTGATATCCTCGTCAGTTCCATTCGCCTGTAGTTGAAACGATGCTTCCCAGGTAGTTGGGTAGGTAAAAGAGATTGTTTCTTTCAGGTTCCTTCCATTTATTCTAGCTGATTGTTGTCTGTTGTTGTTGGTGTTGGTGTTGACCAGGAATCTTCATCACCTCTGTTTTATCTATGTTCACTTAAAGTTCTATGTTTGATGCTTCTTCTCCCAGCTTGTTGCTTTTCACTTGCAAATCCTACAGTTTGTGGGAAATCAGACATATATCATCGCCGAAGTCCAGACTCTCCAAATGTTTTGTGTGAGTCCATTTTATGCCTGTTTCCTCATTGCCCGCCACTGGTCTGTCGCGTTATCCAATCTACTGCAATCAGGAAAATCTTTGGGCGATAGTAGACAGCCTTGCCTCACTCCCGTCATCACTTCGAAGGCTTCCGCAAGTTTCCCTTTGTGGATTACTTGGCATGCAGCATTGTCGTATAACTGTTGGATGAGATGTATAATTGTCGATGGCACCCCGTAATTGGTAGGCCCTTAGTCAATAATGATGTCAGTTGTTAAATAGTTTAAAGTGTTAAGGACTGACTATTTATGGGAAAATTAGACGATTGTGCTTGGGAACAAAGGGATAGAGTTCAGCAAGTTTTTGTGGGTAGAAACAAAGTTTTTACTTAAAAAAGTATAACAAATAAAGCCTTACGTAACCACAGAAAATGTGTTTTTATAAGACAGCGAAATCGTGGAGTAGAGGGGGATCATGTTAAGACAAAAAACACTTTTATAGACAGGACAGTTTACATTTTTTGTTATCATCAAAGCAGTGAGAGTTTCACCATCGTCTCTTTCTGAGTATGTGAGTTTTTTTCTAATGGTTTGACGACAACCTCATCAACAAAACATAGCGGTCTATGTTTATTTTGCCTGCATTCATACTGTCCACAACATGTCCAACGTTCAATAGATGGCGAGTAATTGCACTGTTTATTGGCTGTTAGCCTTTCAATCTCTGTTTGTTTGGTATGGGTTCAGATATGCCAACAATATTCCTTCTCTCTGCTTTTTCAGTGTATGTGTTTTGTCACGTACTTAAAAAGTTGATAGGCGCAGTTTGAAGTAACAGTTTGTCCACTTTCGACCTCCTTTGAACAACTGATCATTCGATAAAAAACATACAAGCTCGGTGGCTTGACATGTTCGTTAACAGGGTAGTTCTCAGTCTACATCTTATTCTACAGGCAGTACTATTCACCTTTGAAGGTAAGCTGCTGTGCAGTTCTCTTTCTCAACACTATTTTTCCTATATTTGTCAATGAAATTCTGTAGGTAACCATTACCATGCAGACATTTCGCCACAATGGATAGCTCTTCGTCGACTTTTTGTTCTGAGCGAAGCGTCCCTTCACGAAAAATAGCTTTCTCGCCGATTTCTCTGTAATATCCAATGTAAAACTTGTGTTAAAATCACCATTATTCAGTATTTGAGATGCATCATTATAGAATCATAAATGACGAACGTGTCATCTAATCCGTGTCCTAGCCATCTCAGTCAATGTAGGTTCAGAACTTTAACACTTGTCTCCTATTCCTTACCTAGCACCCTACGCCTAACCTGAATAATCCATCAAAGATAGCTAATCTTTTCATATCTTCTACTTGCAATGGCTATATCTCATCACAGCCACAAAATTCATTTACTTAGAAAAGTAAATTCAATTTGAATGGATATATATGCTCTTCTGAGTATCACTCACTTTAACTAAAGGACCTCTCTTTCACCTCTCCTTGTTTCATCTCTTTATATATTCCGTTATTTTAGATATATTTAAGATGGACAAATCAATGCTACTGGAATTATTTTGATTGGTTCAATATCCTGAATTATTTATCTATCTGCCTGCTGAATCCAATTCAATTTCAAATCTATGTAAATATTAGTATTATAAAACATCTTGGCCCAGCTTTACTTCAGGCTACAAATGAACAACCTACTAGTCAAGAACAACAACAAGAACAGCTACTAATATTCTTACAGGTAATATTTATTTTCTATAGTTGGTTTGTAAGGATTAGAACTGTTTTTACGAATTGATCACGGAGAACCATTGAAAACCAACCAGGGAGTAGTGAACAGCTGTTTTGTCCTAGTTTGGGAACCATCAGCTGAATGCGCTGACTGGGATTCGAGCCCAGGACCTTCCTGTTACAAGGCAACGTCGTATACCATTCAACCACTGGGACGCGATTCACTGGCCATCCCATGAACTCTAACTTCTACCAATTCGTGATATAACGCGACCACCAACCAATGTCATCGTTGGGAAATCCAACCTCACACTTGACTGGATGGACTTCACTGGTGACGACTTCTCACTAGAACCTCAGAAAACTCCATCCTGTAGACGTTTACCAGCAAACATCAGAATAGTTTTCTATAGTTGGCTTGTAAGGATCATATCTGCTGGTGGTGGCCGCGCTAAATCACGAAGTGGTAGAATTCATGGGATGGCCACTGAATCGGGTCGCAGTCGCTGAATGGTATACGACCTTGTCTTGTAACCAGAATGTCCTGGAATGAAACCCTTGTGGTGGGTACGTACTGCTGATGATTCCCGAACTAGCATGAAACAGCTGTCCAGTACTCCCTAATTGGTTTTCAATGGTTCTCTAACTGATATCAATCCGTGATCCACACGTAATATTTATTTATTTATACTCACAATACGTTTCATGAAACACATGCAACATGTACTTTGTAATGGTTTTCGGGTTCCATACCATTGAGTGTATGCACACTGGACTTCGTGATATAGATTGTTATTTCCATTTATCATTGTTGGAAACCAGTTAATCCTTCGAGAGGTTATTTAGATGTCGACGGGATTCCACTCGATCAACAACGGATTTCTTTTTCTATCCCTTTTCACATTCTAGATATGTCTGTTTTGGTATAGGGGGTCCAAAGGAAACAGCTGTATCAGTGCATTTATCTCTTCCAATAGCTTTTTTCATTCGTTCCCAATTCGTGAAATCATCTATCCTTTAGAATCAATGAAATCTGTGTAAAACTAGATCGGATTCTAAGGTAAGAATGGTATAGGGTGTTCATTTAAAGAAGAATTCGTCTCTAAGATGTATGTTTTGGTAACTTTACTTCAAAATTGTACAGTTTATCAGTGGACAACGTTAGTTCACAGCAAATGTTACAGGTTATTGTCAGTTAGCAGTAAGATGGGTCAAAGTGTTTAGGACATAACAATGTGTGAAAAATAGTGAGTAATCTTCACATAATCCAGAAATTTGACAGATAATCAGTTAAGTGATAAATAATCTTGTGGAGATAATTGACAGGAAATGAGTTAACATGGAGTTGAAAATTGGCTACAAAACTATAAAACAAAGGGGTTATAGGCAGTTTATTATAGACAATAAACAAGGAAAATCAAATGAACTCTAAGGTCACGTTAGTATAAGCAGGTTAGACAAAATGTTTCTGAATACAGAGTCCTGGTTTTTGCCTATAGATTGTTAAAGCCTTGGTTATATAAAGAAGATATAGACCAAATTCTTTCAAACGGCTTGATCGCATTTCATTTATCCATGTAAACGGAGTCTTGTTTAATTCTGAGCTATCGGAAGTAATCATCTACCAAAGAGTTCAGCTGTTTACTGTTCTCTGTTTCGCCTTTTCATGATCATGCTGATAAAAGTATTCATTTGTTGGAGGATTTCATCATCAAGAGTTGACATAGGTTAGGGAATCACTGAAGTATTGGACAGCTGTTTCATCAGTTTAGTTTGGTATTCTTTATCAGCACGTACCGACGCTACAGGGTTCGAACCCACGAATTTTTGGTTGTAAGGCTAGTCCCATAAGGCCATGGGACCTAATCCAATGGCCAGTTCATGAATTCTAACTGCTGCTAACTGACCACAGAGCACGATGACTTCTCAATGTCTTCTTCGATGAGTGACTGTCTTCACCTTCAACCTTCTGTATCCCGCTGGTCACGATTTCCCCTAGAACCCTAGGTAACTGCCCGCTTGAATAGGGCAAGTCGCTATTGAGCATGCAATACCTGAAAAGTATTCATTGACTAGTCTTTTCTTTCATTTCTCACGTCGATTGATTGGACCGAAGTGGTTCACCTCTGCCGAAATGTTGCCTCCTAGGTCATTGAAATAGGCGCCAAGATAATGAAAGTGATATCCACTGCAGAAAATAAAATGACTTTTGAGGTTCAAAAAGTTAAATGGATAAAACTCTGGTGTTTGAAACAACATGGACGCAGGATTTGTTTCTCACTGGGGATGCTTGCAGGGGGAAATGCTCATCTCCTGGATTTCTTTGTTAATCATCATTTACGAATAACATTAGCCTGGCTTTATTTTGTTTTAATGAAATCATAAGCGCGCCTTTCAAAAACCTTCTGTTGTTACCAATAGTAATAATGTACAAATAGATTACATGGTAAACAGAATGTATACGATAAAATGGTGTGTAGGGCGTTTATTTGATTATGAATTGGTTAATTATGAATATTTATTCAAGCTTTACCCAAAAATAAGTGAAAAGGAAAATGTTAGGACAGAAGGATACATGCATATATATATATATATATAATGACTCACTGTTTACCTGACCTGTGACCCAAACATTTGACCCTAACGTAGATGAATCATCAGGTCACTGAATTTTCATCACTGCATACAAACCAGCCAACCACATAATATTTTTTCAAACAAAAAATGATGAAAATAACTAACTACATAAATATCTGTGAATTCTTGTGATATTGTCTTTAGCATGGAGAAATGAATGCCTGCCTTTCTCAGTCAGTCTTCTGTGCTCACTAGCGACTGGCCCCAATCATGTAGGCAGTTACCTGAGGTTCTAGTAGGAAACCGTGACCAATAGGATACAGGAGGTTGAAGGTGGGGACAGTTACTCAGTGGAGAAGAAGACATAGCAAAGTAATCACGCTATTTCGTGAATTAACAGAAGTTGGAATTCATGGACTGGCTATTTAATCAGGTCCCAGTGGCTTAATGGTCTACGAGGTTGCTAGCCTTTTAATACGAAGGTCTTGGGTTTTCCCCCACTGTGATGCCTGCGTACTGCTGAAAAGTCTTAAACTAGTCTGACGAAATGGCTGTCCATTACTCCCTGCAGGTTTTCAATGGTTCTTAATCGATGTCAATTCATGATGTATTCCTCAAACTAATCAAACAAAATCCCTAGTAACCAATACTTGATTTTGTGGAGATAGTAGTTGAGTAACCAGTTATGTATTATTATCGTGTTGGAGTAACAGTATAGAACAAACCAACAAACCAAACACCATCTCCAATTTCAACGTATTCAGTTAGACAAATTATTAAATGCGACTTGCTGAAATGAGAAGTAGATGAGAAGTTTAGACGCTGTATAGTAATATTTATCCCTTTTCCACATGGATGGTCCAGTTTCAAATTTCCAAGCCTCGTCTACTAATTAGATGTAAGGCAGGAAGAGATGGAAGGTTCGGTGTAATGTTAACAGCTCCACTCCATGAAAACCACACTACAACTACTTAAGCTTAGAAGTTGACAGCTTGAAGCTCTATCTCCTACTTAGAAGGTAGGGAAGTGATAAAAAAGCACCTCTGTTTATCAAGTCCAATAAGTCTCATGTTTACAATTGAATGGTGTTTGACATTCTGCTGAGCAATTCAGATACAAAAGGCTTTACTCGAACTACGCAATGCAGGCAGTTGGTTTGAATATTTTTGAATTTCTTACTAAAGTCTTGCATTACGAACTGATTTCACGTAGAATCATTGGAAACCAAGGTGTAGCCAGCAGTTGTTGCATTCAAGTTTCGGTCGTTCACCGGTACGTGCGCATGATCCAACTAGGAGCAAACGTGAAACCTGTTGGCTAAGGAATCTAATGGCCGTCTTGTAATTTATGACTTCACTCAGTTCCTGTCAGTGTTATCCGGTTCGTGAACGTCATATGTAATCTAGCTGCAGGAAACGTCCTATTGTCTGATTTAGAGAGACGATTTTTGAACATATCTGAAACTTAATAACCTTTGGATTCCAAGTTCATGTATAAGGTTTTGTTTGGAACTGAGTCGGTGACCAGTTTAGACTGCTTCTTTTCCATGTTGCTGTCAATAAATCGTTTAGGGTAACCGTTTTCTGTGAGCGTAGCTTTTAAGAAGTCAAGTTCTAAGTCAACGGCATCAGAACTACAAATTTACCGTATCCTAAAGCAGAGTGAATGAATTAAGTCCCTTTTCCTGGAAATAGGCACCCAACTGTAAAAATTAGTTATTTGTCCGTTCCATATACGTTTCCGGTGGATAGATCTTTTGAGAGATCCGTCATTACGTCTGATAAGTCACACATCAAGAAACGGAATACTTAGTTCGGATTCCTTTTCTATGGTGAATTGTAAAGAAGGATAGCAGTTGTTGAAAGCAAACAAGGCATCATCAAGAATTACGCTATTGCCTCAGATAACGAAAGTATCGTCTACGTATCTGTCATAAATGTCAAAATGACCAATGGTTTGAATATATTGAGAATTTTCCAGCTTTGCCATAAAACAATTAGCCAACAAGGGACCCAATAGTGATCCCATGGCAATGCCATCTCTGTGTCCATAGATCCCAACATTGAAGGTGAACTGAACATTCAATGTGCATCTTAATAAAAGTCCTCTGAGGTGGATTGTCGGCAAACCTATTTCTAAACTATGTGTATCGATATAATCACATAAATAGCAAACAGTTTCCATTTGAAACCCAGAATTATTAACTTGTTTATTTTTATTATCACAATTGATATGTACCCATATAATATGTGTGTTTGTTTGACAGTCTGATATATTTTGCTATGTATATATGGATCGATATTCCAATATGATTAGCCAATCATGTTAAGACTGTCTATTGATTTGTTCATTTTGAATATTCGCTCTCACACTTGTGTTCACACACTTGTTCGGACATTCATATATATATTTTTGCTCTCACACTCTTGTGGG